GTTTGAGAGAGGCGGGGCATAGAGGACCTACAATAATGTACAGTATTTGAAAAAGAATGTGTTTTTTGAACATTAAAGCATGTCAACATATTCTGTTACACCAAATACACAAAATAATGATCTTTAAAATAGCATCATATGACCCCTTTAAACAATAAGCTCCCACAAATAAGCACATAAAAACAAACTTCGGAGTAAGCGAGACAGCATTCAATATACAAATCCAAAAATATTTATCACAGTGTGTACTGCAGAACACACAGACAGAATTGTGGGATTGGGCTCTGGAATGTTGCATATCAGCTTTCGTGACGATGTTTAGACCTAAACAGCATTTATGCTGTGAATGACGCATTTTAGTGAAGTACTGAGGACTTCTGCAGAACTAGTTTTAGTTCTCTTTGAAATATCCTCAGAAGTAAACGAGGTCAGTGTAAAAAGACTAAATGAGAGAATTCAACCAGCAGAGAAGCAATTTGGTGGACCAATATGGAACCAAAACAGGAATTATTAATGTCTCCACTTTCATGCGCAAAGCACCTGTTCCTGTTTGTTGACACAACCCACTTCCTCACTTAGTTAATTAGTGGCATGATTTGTGACGAATGTTCTTTGCAGGATTCACTGATTCAGTATAACCACAGACAATCACTCTTTGGTAATACTTTATATTAGGGAACACATATTCTCTATTAACTAAGAGTTTTCCCTCAATAAACTCCTAATTTGCTGCTTATTAATAGTTAGTAAAGTAGTTGTTTAGTTTAGGTATTGGGTCGGGTTAAGGGATCTAGAATATGGTCATGGAGAATAAGCCATTAATATGTGCCTAATAAGTACTAATAAACAGCCAATATGATGCATGCTAATAAGCTACTAGTTAATAGTGAGAACTGGTCCTTAAAATAAAGTGTTACCATAGCTTTAATAATATTTCTAAATAAAGCAAAAAAAAAAAGTATTAAAAATAAAATATAAAAAATAATATAAATAGTAAGAAGTAAAAATATAGTAATACAATAAAATATTTTTTTTTATGCCAGCTGGTTTCTTAAAAGGAATTGCTCAATAAAAGAAACGCCTAGTCTCAAAACCCTACCAAACCACCTCAAACCATAAGTTCTTACTTTGGATCTTTGAGCAGTAACCGTGCAATGAAGTCTTTGGCCAAAGCACTGGTGTTGCTGAAGTACTCCTCATCAAACTCGTAGTCCACAGCTGACACATTGGCAAGTGTCTCCTGCTTATTTTCACCCAGAAAAGGTGAGGCACCACTAAGCCTGAAGATATAGAAAAAAAATGACCATTTTATCTATCATTTACTGGATGTGAAGGTCTTTCGTATAGCAGCATTCAACAAAGTCAAGTTTGATGTGAACAATGACTATTAAAGTGCGAGAAAACAGGCAAAGGCCATTTAGCGTTCAACATAAGCACTTTATTTTACATGCTCCATTCCATTTTTTCCTTTGTGATAGAAAAATCTCTGTTCTAGACCACAGTACCAGAGTAATATTGGGTCATCAAGCTCTTTCAACTATTATAACTGAAATGTATAGCTGTTGCTAATTAAAAATCTAACGTGATAAATTTGTGGGATGAGACCATGACTTTCAGAAACACTGTCGGGAGATAAACTTAAATATTTATTGTTAAGTTACAGCTGTTCTAAATTAACACTGCCATTTAATGGCATTCCCTATGGGTGAGAAACATAGTCTCCAAAAGTGTGAGAAAAAGAAAAGAATGGTGGAACAGGAATGCGTCAGGATTAGACATGACAATGGTGTGTGATATCTACCTGATGTGAAGCTCTATTTTTATTTGCCTATGATGAAAGAGGAGTGGAAGGAACAGCCCTGTCATAAGACATTGAACTTTCCAGTTCTCTTTAGACTGCTATATTAGCACATGTTGATGGGCGGATAGTGATGGACAGACAGGATAGAGAAGACAAAGAAGAGACATTTTTGGATCAAACATGGCCTAAAAGCAATCCTAAAAGCAGACTTAAAGTCTGTGTAAAGCAATATTAAAAAGCATAAAAATGTGTTATTAACCACCCAGCCAAATTTGAATGATTAAAAAAAAAAAAAAAGGCAAGTAAATAAAATAAGGTATCAAAATCTTGAAAAAATTAGTAGTTTTTCTGCTCTCAAACGCTGGAGGCGCGTCCACTGTCGGCTCTGAAACCACGCCCACTCACGGGAAAGCTGCCGTCTCTCAAAAACTACAATCAAATACCACTACAACCTGAATGGATGCTCCCTCTAGCAGCTTAATTTAAATAAGGAGACCGAGCTGCTTTGTAAATTATCTTAGCTCTAGTTATTAGGCGTGTTCGAACTGAAGCAGCGCTGTGCAGCCCGGTCGTTGTATGACATCAAAGTACTGCGAGAGGATTTGAAAGCATAAGGAGCGTCTGCTCTCTAGAGCTCTCGCTGTGTTTTGATGTCATACACCGATCGGTCTGCGCAGCGCTGCTTCAAGTCGAACACACCTCTTATCAGCTTAGGGGAGGGGCCGTGATCAGTGGCTCCAGTGCGTCATTGAGAAATGATTTCAGGCCCGCCCAAAAAATCCTGAACGCAAAAATGGTGAAAAACTATTTACCGGTCTACCTCCACAATTCAGTACTACATAGTTCACAGTCTTTGTAACATGTTTTCAGCCATACATTTCTAACATTTATAATGTGTTTAGAAACAATTCTCTGATTTGCCTTTACACAGACTTTAATGTTCTTAATGTGATGACATTTTTTTTTTCCTTTTGAGCTATATTTCCAGTTTTCGTGAGATTCATCCATTTACTGTTTACGTCAGAGACATGAGGATTTGGTTCCCATCAAAAAGGAGGGCCCCCCTCAGGTCTTATCACAAGCAACAGGCAAGTTCCATTGTTTATATTGCTCTGTGATATGCTTAGTTCCCTCTCACATTAACGCACACACACACACACACACACACAGAGAGAGAGAGAGCAACATCAATGTTTCCACAGGAAGACCAACACAAGCTTTACAATTAGACGCTGCACCCAGAGGTTGCACTAATAATCATTATCCATCACACTGATGGACTGGGTTATAAATTCCATGTCTTGCTCTATTTTTATATGTCAGTAAAACACTATACGGCTTGGTATTTTTAATGTGATACTGGCATCACAAGAACTTCTGTGGAAAGAACTCTTTCAGTTTTATCAAGTGCTTTTCCCGTGTTTCTTGCTTTTTATTTATTTATTTTTATTTTTGACCAGACCATAAACACACACACACACACAAACCTCAATGCAACCTCTATGCAGATCATGGAAACATCAATGTCTGATGCAGCACTTGGCTGGATGCAAGATCTTACTAAGCATCCTTTTACTTCAAATATCAACCATTATGACAGTTGTAGCACAACGAGAGTTTATTCTATGACACTGGAGGATGGCAAAACACTTGACTCAACTTAATTTTCTTCATTTTCAGCTAAATTTGCCGTGCCTTTGTTTTACTGCAGAATGGGATTACAGCCATGCTTTGAGAAAAATAATGCAATTACGAAAATGGATGCTATTTAAAGCCTAAGTGAAAATCCATAAATGCATTGAGTTTTCATTTGTAATGAACTATATTTACAACATCACAACAACACTGATGATTATGAATACTCACAGAATATATGTGATCACCCCAATGCTCCTAGAGTTAAAGAAATAAAAACACATTTAGCATAGGAAGTGAGGTAACACCGAGGTCAGATAATGATATAATGCTCATTCTCACCACATGTCTGCCTCCAGGCCAAGCGGCTCATAATTCACCACTTCTGGAGCTGCAAACCACAAAACAAAATCACTTACAATACAGTGCTACAATACAGAAGAGTTTGGGGTAAGCTATGGCAAATTTTATTTAAGCCATCGTCTTGGCAATAAGAAATGAGAGTCACAACTTTTTTTAAATACACCTGGTCTTACTTTGCCCTACATTATTCACATTTTCATAAACCAACCAAGAAAACATTTGATATTTGAATGAAATGAAATAATTCCATTAATATTTGTTATGGTATTTCATGCTTATGGAAGTAAAGCTTACTATAATTTTCAGTTCAAGTCTGCATTAAATAAAAATGTTAGTGCACATTACCAGTCTTGTGGTAAATGTAATCTGTGAAGCATCTGACACACTTTTGGGAAAATGCTTCAGTTTCAATTTTCTAATGACTAATCTTTAGCCAAGTAATTTACATGGTTTTATATATCAGCAATTCACAGATATGCATATGTTGTTAGACCTGGATAAGTTGCTATCTGCCATACAGATTACTGTATATATTTAGACATGCAAAATATAGTTTTTAGCATTAAAACAATGGTTATTACTTGTGTGCATCTCCAAACAGTCATATATGGCAGCTATATGATAAACTCTTTCTAACTATATGGTCATGTGACAAAAATAATGCACAGTCTGCAAGAGGAAGGGGGCGACGCAACCTACCCTACACTCCTTAACATTAAAAAAGCCTACAAAAATGTCTAGAAATGCTAAGTCGATGGTAGGATATTTTTGTGGTTTCTCACGGTATGAGCTGTGAAATGAGTCACTGCTTTCAGAGGATCTCAATCTCTGATGTGTTAATGAAGAAACGAGGAAATAAGTCTGAGGTGGGAGAGATGCTGCTGCTCTCTACGCCTGAGAATTACTACTTGTATTATTATGCACTATCGAGGTTCGGTCATTGACCAGGGTTGGGAGGAAGAAAGCTGCTCCTTAACCCTAAGGTTTAAAAAAAAAAATCAATGAAGTCATGCTCCTGTAATGGGCTGATACTATTCTGGGATTGGATTGGATTAGTGTCTTCAGAACCAGGTGTCTAGCTTGACCGGATTCTCCTCCATGAAGCCTGAACATAATTTTGAGCACTGAAATAGACTGCACTGTGGGTTAGCTGGTACTTGACCGTGGCCTTTAGCATTGTGTCTCTATTAAGACTGCTGTATCATCACTGCCTGCAGCCACACTGGCTGCCATTCAGATAGGACTGGATGTGATGCCAATGGCATAAAGGGATGGGGGTGGTGTGGGTGTGCATGTCTGTGTGCTTTCTGGGATGGCTGGGGGCTTGTTCATGTAAAACGTGACTGAAAACAGCAGAGCTGACTCATATTGTTAAGTAAAAACAGTAAGATTTAAGGAAGGTTGTTTTGTAGCTGTACGCAAAATACCAACACAAACACATCAATATAGAACACCATTTAAAGTCCAGACACACTTGACTGAAATAATATTTATCTTAAAAAGCTGTTGATTTAAAAGCCTATGCTTAAACATAAAATGCATGTCCATGCCATGAATTTCTTTACAAAAATGTCAAGTGTACATGTGAATTCCTTCAATACAATTTTATTAATATAATAATATACAAATATTTATTAATAATAATAATAATAATAATAATAAATCTAAAACAATATAATGTACTGTATAATTATTAAATAATTATTGTACACTATATTTTACAAATCCATAATTATAAAATTATAAATAATTACTATATTATAATTATATTAAAATTAAAAATATATTATTACATATATTAAAATTAATTTATACATGTTTACACTTAAAAGTTTATGTAACTATTTGAAGGATTCAATGGGTAACAAAGCAGTGATCCATGGTGTTTCTTTACAGTTATGTCAGGCTTGTGGTTCAGATTACACATGAAAGGAGAAAAGAGAGGACTGGACAGAGGACCATAACAATACGAGCGGGTGTAATTACAACACATCTCTATAGACTGACCAGCGGATGACACTGACCTACAAACTCCGGGGTACCAAAGATGTTTTTGAAATCATTGCCAAAATCGATCTTGTGGGCCAGGCCAAAGTCAATGAGCTTAATGCGTGGGTGAGGCACACTCCGTTTCAGCAGCATGATGTTCTCCGGCTGAGAGAGATGAGAACAGAGAAAGAATTGGAGGGAGAATGCAAAAGACAGAATCAGAGGAACTAATGATAGGTATGGAACAAAAACACAGCAGGAGTGAGAGAGAGAGAGAGACAGACAGAGAGAGAAAGCAGGAAATCTGCCATAACACATGGAAATCACATGCAAAGCTACAGAAACGTTCACTAGAAAGCACAGGCATACTCAAGCCAGTCAGTAACAGATCCCTGCCTGGACATTCCATAGAAACAATACTTCCTTCAGTGGGCTTTATTCATGCACAGACTAATCTCTTAAAAGCTCCAATGACTTCAAAATATTTAACAGAAGTGTTACAGAAAGCTGTGTGGATGACTGCTCTGAAAGCAGTGGATCTAATTACATAAACGCCGTTGCTTGACTATTTTATTTTATTCTTTAGGTCACAGTTAAGTTGGTTAATGTGAATGTTGGCTGCTTTGAAGTTCATTTTTCAGTTAGACTGGTTATTCAGGTTAAGTGATTTTAGTGCAAGGTAAAAACTCGATCTATATCTGAAACTTTCAAAACAGCGACTACTAGAATATTAATGCAATTCTGCAATAAAACCTTTCAAAAATTACATCGGGAAAAAAGGACTGAATTTATGACCATCCCAGCGCTGCCCAGCAATTATGTAAAGGGTGGAAATAAGTGGATAACCAACAGGGAGGATAAAAGCACCTCAATTGATTTGTTGTGGCTGGTTCACAGTGATGGTAATCGCCACAGTCTGGCATTGGGGGGAAACTCAAACATGTCTCAGTACCTTCAGGTCAAAGTGGGCAATCTGTTTGGAGTGTAGGTAACTGACTCCATCCAAGATCTGCTTGAGGAACTCGGTGGCCTCCTCTTCACTCAATGACTCTTTCTCAGCTAGAAAGTCAAAGAGTTCCCCTCCTGCCACACTGTATAGAGAGAGGACAGATGTTGACACTTGCAGTAGAGCTACTTATTTGATAATCTTCATTTAACCAGGATCAAATTAATTGAGAATTAATCACAAGAGTGAGCAAGATAGCAGCAAAAACACAATAACAAGTTTCATGCAATTGCCAAATCAGTTAAAAACAACTGAAATTTACAAGAATTTTGGAAAGAAACTTCAGCATTCACTGAATGAAATAAAATTATCTGAGTATCAAATACGAATTTAACATCTTAAATAAGAGATGACTATAGTGTAACAAAATATAAATAAATCAAACAAAATTCACATAAAACGAGTCTAGCTTATTAAACAGAAGAACCAGCCTCTCTAATGTTTCTGAGTGATTCACTCTGGCAGAAATGGCTGTTGGCAGGGCTATAATCATGGCTTTTGGGAGTGGACCAACAGGATCTGGGCATATATTTATTCAGCAGAAGGAAGCTGCACACCAGCTGCACGCTGATGACATGATAACGCTTGCTGCTAATGGCGAGATTGAGCAAGTGCAGCGATGAGCCACACAGCTGCAAAAACACCGGCGGCAGATATGTCTCTATGTCCTTCACAGAAACAGAAAGAAAAACACCAGCCCCCACCCTGAACAACACAGGTCTCGTAGTCAGAAGACTTGTCTAGTCATTACAGCTTGTTCTGGCAAAGAACCAGCCACTTGATCAAGAAGAGACCATCTGATCGACATGTAAAGAAAGCAACAAACCGCCATTTAGAGTGGCTTATCCAAAAACAGAATAAACTACACAAATTTAGTTCTTCCTCAAACGCGTTCATTGTATCAACCTGCTACCTTATAAACACGACTTTGTTTCCAGGCAAACTGATAAAAAGCCGTTTTCACTTTTAGAAGTTGCGCCAATCAGATTTCAGCCAGCATTTGCCATTTTTGTATGCCTCAGACAGTCAGTGAACGAACTATGGGCGGTCCATAAGCATGCCATCTGAGACTATAAAAAACACTATAGCTTGTAAATTCTCACAATATTAGTTGGTAGCACAAAGGTTTAGAGAGGATGCCAAATGACCTGAAAATGAGACTTGACTTTCAGTGCAAGGTCAGGATTGTGTGGTTATGTCCTTTAGCAAGGTACTTAACTCCAGATGCCTCAGTTAGTAAACAAAATAGCTTCACTGATGAGTAATGTGCAACAAATATGAGCTCAGAACATAGATGCATGGACGTCCTTTGTAACATGGAATGAAGAAGCAAAGAAAACCAGTTGGGTGAGGAGACACTTCAAGAGGTTCCGAGGAAAGACACTTCCTTCACATAATCTATGTCTAACAAAACAATTCTGCTGAAAAGGTTGAGGTTTAACATTCCAGACACTGATTCCGTTAACACATTTATCTTGTGTACTTACTGAACTGACTAAATTGCAAAATATCAAATTACAAAGCTCCATTTAAATAATTGCATATTTCAAAACCTATTAAACATTCTGCTCAGATAATGAGGAATTACACACAATGTAATGATGAGTGACTCAGTGACGGCTTAATTTGATTACATTAACTGTATGGCAGATCATTTTGACCTTTAGGTCACATTTAAGTTGCTTGCAATGTTATACTTCATGTTGGTTTTCAAGTTAGACTGGCTAATCTAGGAAGTGATTCTTGAAGCCCAATAGGGTGATCTACATCCTAACATTGTACAGCACCAATAGAGTACAACACTTTTACAGCACAGCCTTGGTTTCTGAAAGTAGTTTTCCTATTATATATATATATATATTAGGGGTGGGCAAGTTAACACATTATTATCGCATTAACTGTGCATTTATTGAATGAGCACTGTGCAATGTCCGAACTGATTGCACTATATTTTATGTATAATCATTTTTTTTATTCTTAACTGTTAAATTAATTTTAAACCTCTTAAATAAATTTTTAAATCATTTTCAAAGTTTTTAAATTACTTGTTTTATTGTTGTGATTATTATTTTTTTTATTATTTTATCTTATTTTATATAAAGCACTTTGAATTACCATTGTGTATGAGCGTACCGCGCCCGAGCCCAACTGAACCGCGCTCTGGCCCACCTCCTCCAACCGAGCCAGAGCCGACTAAACGAACCGTGCCCAAGCGCGGCACGGAGCGATCACACTAGTCAAACGAACCGGGCTTCGGGGGTCAAGCGCTCGGGCTCAAAACACCTATTGTGAGTACACCCTTATTCTCCCGCATCCCGCACACACGAGTCTCTACACGCCCGCACCCATAGTCACATCAAGTGTTGTCCCGCGCCGCACTCTGCTGCGTTGGGTCCCGCGATAGTGCAGGTC